TAAGCTTAGCTTCCCTGTAGATATTCCCCAGTACACAGGGAATCCCCTGGCTCCGGTACTCACTCCGTCTGTTTATAACCACCTCCGTGGATATGGTAACCGCAAAACCAAACATGACGACAAGGCCCCGTCCACTCTACGCCGCAGAAATTTGAAAAAGCAACAGTAACCGGTCATTTTAGATTTGTATTTGAGAAAAACTCAGGCAGGGAAATCGTGACGTCATCTTTTTCAAAAAACTCCGTTTTCAAAATGCTTTCCGTCCACACTTAAACGCAAAGACGGCGCTTTCAAATGCATCCTGTTTGAAGAACGTTTTCGAAAAGCTCCGTTTTTGTGAAGGATTAGTGTGGACGGTGACGTTAACCGTAGAAATAAAGCTCCGTTTTCAAATTACTCCGGCTTAGTGTGGACGCTGCCCATAATATGAGTTATTCTGAGCTCAGGAATAACTCGATTAGCACTAAGACGCGCCAGAACTCTATCCTACCTATAATCTTGATGTTGTAATCATCGTCTAAAAGAAGATTTTCAACTTTCAAGTCCCTGTAGGAACAAACGAGGCTACGTGTTAAGGCTTTCTGTTTTCGTGATGATGGGTCTTCATAAGTAATCTGCGGCAGTACGCATATCCGTTAGACAGGTAAGTGGATAGAAGATTGGAGAGGGATTTTGATGGATAATGAAGCAGATGAGCGGTAAAATAAATAAAACACGCCTATAAATCTCAGGCAGATACAAATCCCGTCTGTTTCGAGTTCAAAATAACAATAAAGGTCATCTTCCTATTTTGCTGTTTAAATTTAATTTTAGACACGTTTCGATGCTAGTTATCCTTCTGGTATAACACAGCTTTAAGATGTTACGGGATGAAATACTCATTCAAACAGATAATTCGGCCCTGGCTAATTCGCTCATGAATATTTAACAATTATTGCAAAAGCGCGCGTTGGATGTACGAGATGGTAAATAGCCAACTGGGCGCGTAGCGCTGAGTTGGCTATAATCATCTCATATCCAACAAGCGCGGGGGGAATAATTGATTTATTAAAAACGCTCCCCAAATGAGGAAAACTAATTAACAAATAAAGAAGCCTAAGCCGCGTATTACACTGTCATAAAACTCGACGGGCATTTGAGAACATGAGGGAAACGTACAAAGTATGAACTGTAAGCGAGTGTTTTCTACATTTCTCAAATGTCTGGAGTGTTCTATCACCGTGTAATACACGGCTTAGGCTTCTCCATTTGCTTTGTGAGGTAGATTTCCGATTGCTCGACAAAACGCGACTTCTCGACTGTTTTCGCTTCTTCTTCTTTATTTGTTAAGTTAACCTCATCTTCAAAACTTTCTGCTGCTTCGCAGAGAACTCCATCACAAATTTCTTCAAAGAAAATGTTTTTCGCCATCTCTAACAAAAATGTTGACTAGAGGAAATATGGCGAAAAACAATAAAACACGCTTTTTCTGGTTTTATACTCTGATAAAACATGGGTTTTTGACCAATCAGAGCGCGCCCAGGGTTCTATTTATATTGTAAACTACAATAAAGGTAAAAATGCCCGAAATAATCAAGCCTACATGGTATAATGCGTGGTATAAACCACGCGGGATGTTGGCAGAACACTCGAAGAATTCGTAAATCACGAGCCGCAGGCGAGTGATTTAGAATTCTTCGAGTGTTCTGCCAACATCCCAAGTCGTTTACCATGCTTTTAAACCATAGAAACTTGTGATCTATTGCTTTTATATAATAATTCAGAGGACACGCAAAATTTTCATGAGTTTACTCGCACAATAAACCATAGCTGATTGACCAATCAGAGCGCGCGCATTCATTTGATTATTATATAATGGCTCATATACTAGGATGACTAAGTCAAAGAAAACTCTCGAATTGCGTTATCCAATGATTCAGTTTTCATAATTATAATAAATAGCGTTTCCCGTGGGAGTCTCCTTCTAAAGGTAGTTCACAGAATTAAAGCTAATCCGTTTTGTGTAAATTTTTTTATTGCTATTCGTATTACTAAGGCTTCCACTATCGTATAAATAGGATAAGCCAAATGTTTCATAGCCAATGTTTGGCTCTTTCCTGCTGCCTCAATCGACTGAAAACTGACTGGGAACTAGTGTAACCGGGGTGGCGAGCGTGACAAATAGTGTCACTTTATAAGATCATGTTGCCATACTAACCACAGTTCACGACAGTTAGAAATCCAACTCTTTTTTTATTTGGCGTGTAAATCGAACTGCGTCACTATAAGTTAATAGGGTCATTTATTGTTAGAAGTCTATAGACCTCCGTTGTGTATTTCGTCCATACCTGTGGAGAATCCCTCCCTGGTGAAGGTAATGCACAGCGGACACAGTTTGTCGAATAAACTTCCTGACTTCTACCTCGCCAAGTTTTCTTCGGTAACAGATGTAATCCATGAGATCCCCTCCTGCTGCAAGCTCTGTGATCAAGTAATACCTGAGTGTAATTGTACAAATGCATTAAGCAAGTCTCAATGCGCGTGCTTAATATCCTTTAATGTTGACAAAAACTCTTTCCCATGGCCGCAAAACGTTTGGTCGGCACCAAGAATCGAGACTTCTGGGCGAAATTAAAAGGTAAGCCAGGGTAGTTTAATCACAGCGGTTAAAAAAGCATGCACCCAATCAAACCGCAACCAGGATTGCCATGTTAGTGACATGTTTCCATGGATTTCAAACACAGCAGGGCTTAAAATAATTATTTACTTAGGAGAAAAGCACCAAAGAGCAGTAAACCAAAAAGAATCAAGGATGACAGTAACATTAGAGAAAACTAAGAAGGATTACGGGGCAAAATTTTGAGGATGCGCCGGTTTGAATGGCAAAAATTCGAGTCCAGACTTTCCGCTCTAAAGAGTGGTACACATTTACCAGCGGAGCTTACCAGGTTACACACATTACCTGTGCTCTGTTTCCACCACCTCCAGTAGTTGAACAATATTAGGATGTCGTATCATCTGCATGATTTTCGCCTCTCGCCGCATATTTTTAGCGACATATTTATCTTGATGAGCTTGCTTCTTGTCTATTATCTTCACAGCGACCTGCGGCGAACGTGAAAAAGAATTAACAACAATAACAACAAAACAGCATGTCCATGCAGTGTAATTAACAGGTTAAATAAAAGAACCGAAACAACGTCGGGAAAGAGTTTCAAATTAAGTAAGGACAAGAGAAAATTTGCTATGGTAGCTTTTTAATCAGTGACGGTTACTACATAGAATTGACAGAAATTTGTCTCATGTAACATACTTGTTTATTATATAATTATATTATTGAATATATGAAATATCATATATTTGAGGAAGATATGAAGACATGACTGATCATCCCTGTTAGACACAACTTAAGCAGTTGTGAAATTAAGCCTCAAAA